CCCCCCCCCAGATGAAAGGATGCCCGGAGCCGCCCCCGCTTTCCCCCTTGGCGCCCGCGTGGGGGTCACGGTCAGTCCCCCACCCCCCACCCCACCGCTGGCCTCGCCCCCTCCGAGAGGGAAGTGAAGCGAGCCGAGCGTCTTGGGGTGCGGCGTGATCTCTCCCGTCCTCCTCCCTGCAGATGAGGCAGGAAGATACTAGAGTAGCCCCAGAACCTGCACCCCCACCCCCCCGCCCCGGCGCTGCGGGCCGAACTTCGCCGCCGCGGGTGGGTGACCCGAGTCACATGGGGTCGGGTGCGCCCCCAACTCCGGCTTTCTTGGCCATCTGAGCAAAGCAGTTCTGAACAGTTGCAATAAGGAAACTTTTGCCAGAGACCCTTGTGAAGGGCATAGAGCAACAGCCCTTGGAGCCTTTTTGGGCAAGCATATGAAATTTGAAGGTGTCGAGTTCACTGTACTGCGTAAGGAAAGAGAAGACCCATACAGTTAGTCTAAAAAAATTAGCATCAGTGGTTTTTCGCCCCAGTGTCACGGGCAGTGAGGGAAGGAGGCACCACTATTTGCTTCTTCATAAATGAAATTGTGTAGTGGTGTGAAAACTCTTTGGTTTAAAAGTAAGGGGGTCAGGTGGAGTCGGTGAATCATGCTGGGTTGGATAATAGGTTGTGCACCTGTTTGACAGTATTTTTGAAATTAAACTTTGTTCTTAAGTGGAAAATACACAGTATTTTTATTTTGGGGCATTGAAAGAGATCGAATTTGGGGTTTGTTTGTTTTTTTTCTTTTCAGCGTGTCCAGGTAACTAAGAGAAGAGGCTTTTAATTTCGTCATTCGAAAGATAATTAGCACTCGTTTTTCTTAGTGTGAGATATTTAAGACATAAAAGGCATTTTGGCAAAACTTGAGGTCCAGCACCTGGTACTGATATTTAAGACATAAAAGGCATTTTGGCAAAACTTGAGGTCCAGCACCTCAGGTGCATCAGGATTCTCTTTATTTTGTCTGGGGAACAGTTTATATAGGAGTCTGCCACAGATTGCAGGTCTTTTCAAGCAGTGTTTTTTTAAGTGGGATTTTTTTTTCCCCTGAGGAAGTAAATAAGCAACTTGTTCATGTCACTTTTTTTTTCCTCCCAGGGCTTAGAGGAAAACTGCCTGGAGAGGGAGGCCTTGTGGGCTCCTGACTGCAGGAGAACATTGGGTCTGGAGCTCACGGACCACAGCCAGCTCTTAGCCCTAGAACCTCTGCAGTTAAGCTGTAAAGAACAGTTGTACTTATCCTGCCTTAATGTTTAGCACAAAACTAATTAAGGTTTCTTTCAAGGCCGCAGACTCTGCCTTGCCAGTCCTTAATTGAAAGTACCTTTGTATGATGCAGTTGAACTTAAGGAATTATGTTAATGAATAGAGTCAACAAGTTTAACTGATTAAGAACCTGGTATTTACCTGATTCCCAATGTACACTGGGTTCTGAGTGTGACCTACTTCCAGCATTGATTATGAGATGAAGTAATTCACTAGACATCTTTTTTTTTTGAGTTGGCATGATCAGAAAATTGACAGCAAAATAGTTTTTCAGTTATTCAAACAAATGATTTTCTACTAGCCATGTAACTGTTACGATGGACCGAAGGTAACAGTTTAGTGATAGAAATATTGAGTTTGAACTAACCTCTGTGAGACGAAATCTCTGTTTTTATATCATTTCGCAGTTGGTCTTCCTCCCTTTTGGGGAACTTTAAGACCATCCTGTGACACTGATTTGAAGCTTGGTCTGGGAGAAGTTTTTGAACTTTGAATGTGTTCCTGGAAGACTCAGTGTTGGGGTTAGAGTGCTGAAGGAACAAATAACACAGAGCTTTAATGTTTGGTTCTTAGCGTTTCATAAATAAATATCTTTTAGTCAGCCTAGACATAGGGCTATGCAGCATAATTTCTTTTTCTGACTCTAGCTTGGTTCTCTTTTGGCCACTTTCTACTGAGGAAGTTATTTTATAAATTGAAACATGTTAAATCCTTCAGAAAGAGCAATTGTGTTAATATTTGCTTTTTAAGGCTCTAATTTTAAGGTGGTGAGCAACTTAGTTTTTTAACTTCTGAGAAGTTACAAATATCTGTTTTGATGTTGGTCTCCATTTTTGGAGGAGGTGGTCCTGGAGTAGTTAAAAAGTTTAAGGAAGGGCTGGCCCGGTGGCGCACTGGATAAGTGCGCCGCTTGGGAAGCGCGGCGGCACTCCC